AATGTAAATAATAAAAAAATTTATTTAAAAAATATCATATTTTTTTATTGGCGGAAAAGCTCATAATGCGAATAAAATTCAGCATGAAGCACTGGTTGTACTGCAGACTGTTGATTGCTGATTGCTGAACTCAGAATGGAACTGAAAGGCTTGGAATAGAAAAAGCGAACCACTTGCAGAGCACAAGTGCACAGATTCGCATGTTTCCAATCATCGCAATTTATTTTGGTTCATTTGCAATGTATTCAATTTAGAATTGATTTAATTGCGATTTACTAAACCTTAAAAGTGCACTTGAGGATTAATTAATTTTAATGATTAATGAAATCTAAAGGAAAAGTTAAAAAATAAATCATGTAAAAAGATTTATTCACAAATAGTCAATAGCAGAAACTTAAAAACTAAACAGCATAACAAGCAATTTATGAATTTCTAAAATCTAATAAAAGCATTTTAGTTAATCATAATAAATTAATTTAATTGCCATCAACTAAGGGACAATTTGTTAGCCTATAGATAGAGACAGAGTATAATACCGATTAACGTTGCCAATAAGACAACCTAGACATTTTGAGACCCCATGCGAAAGAATTCAATGAAACTTTCCAAAGAAATTCAAAAATCATGCTGGAGTCGTTATTTTGTCGATAAATGTTTTCTAACTTGAAACATTAGTCGGTATATCGAATAATGTTTGGCCAGAATATGAAGAAGCTATGGCAAAGAGAACTCTAATTGTCTTATAAAAGTGGGATTTTAACATTGGTATTGAATGATCTTATTTCCTTGTGAAGAGATATATTTGAATAACTCTATATTTTATAAAGAGTCTAATAGGTATTCCCTCTTACCACTAGACAGACCAGATCATTCTAAATAAAAGTTAAGTAAATAACATAATGAACTTGCAGAAAATAATATAAATAAAGAATAGTTATACATTCTGAATGAGAAAGAGTCTCTCGGATATTACCATATTTTATTAAGAATTCAATAGATATGCTTAACTTTTGTAAATCCGTTTCGTATGCCCAGTTGCCTCCTGTCCTCAGAAATACCAGATAATCTTAAGTAAGACTTAACTAAATAATAGAATGAATTTGTCCAACATCACACCAATAAAAAATTTTATACATTCCGATTGTTTGAACTTCCTGGTTCATCATTTTTCAGTGCAAACTATTTAGTCGTATCGATTTTATTATGGCTATATTGATAGCCCACTAGCAAGGTGGTCTTTAATAAGTTATGTTTCAATGACGGTCTTGGAGATTTACTTGAGCCGATTGGCCATATAAAACAGAAAGTTTTTAAAACCATTCATAATCTACCGTTTTTGTTTTTATATTAATTACCTTCAGAGATTCCTGTATCAGATTCTATGTCACCTGCATAATCCAGGCTGCTAAGCTTACTGTGTAAATCAAATGCAATAATTCCCTTTAGTGATTATAGTGAACATATATGTTCATTATAAAAAGGACTGCCATTCAATATTTCATTCAAGTGAAAAATTAAAAATAGAACAAATATTATACCATATAGCTGAAATAATAAAAATAATATAAAAAATCATTTAAATAAATTTATTAAGAAAGTATGTACCAATCGAATCCCCATTTCTTTTTGGTAATCTTCGAAAAATAGATGTTCAAATTTAATTTTTTAAGTATGTATACGGTTTCAAAAGCAATGTAGGTATTAGTTTTCCAGAGCATAATGCGTGCTATTATTATCAATAATAAGGCAAGAATTAAGGAAAGGAATAAAAAAAAAATAATAAATAAAGGTATTATAATAATTTTTGACTTTTGTTACGAGTTTATGCCCGGAAGCGCAAATACAATCTGTAACATTTTTCCAAACGGATAATAACAAATAACAAACATTTTAATAACCGCCCCTTACGGTGTTCATATAGACAATCAACCACACCTCAACCCTCATCGCATTAGCGGTTATGAATATGTGCAATGTGGCTACATTCAAGCCCACAAAATTAAGTCAGGCGGTAATCATCAAGTTCATTCGTATACACACTTAAATATTGTTTAAAAATTTTATGAATTATATATACGTAAATATATCTTCCAGATACATAGGAGTGTGTACGTCACAGACAGCAGTGTGCGAGTATATAGCACACAATTCATACATTGTTATGGAACAATTTAGAGCTGCTTTCCCAAAGCGCACACAAATTGGTGGTGTATGCGCAATTTTTAAAGCAATATGGCAAGTCCTTCAGCCGGAAGTCAAGTGCGGCGCACTAATGATGACATAATAGTCATTTGTTAGGATCTTTCAGATTTATTTACTCTCGTTGTTTTATTTTTGTTGTTGTTTGTCGTGTTGTTTGTCGTGTTGTTTCTCGTGTTGTTTCTCGTGTTGTTTCTCGTGTTGTTGGAGTTGTTGGAACAAAAGTAGAAAAGTTTAAAAATCATTAAAATAAATTGCCGCAGGTTAAAAATCTAAAATTGTTTTGTGGTATTCATTTTAAAGTGGATTTTGTTTGGTATTTCACTTGTGACTTAATTTAGGGGATGGGATATAATTTAAGGAAGAATTAAAAGACACAAAATGTTAACTTCTCATTTATATATTTTGAATAATATTTAATGAGTTTCCGTTACTACATAATGACTCCATTTTTAGGATGATTTACATATTTACATGAGGAAAATATTTTATTTCGGTTTGATTTCAAATATGATTTACGCTTGTAATCTATATAAAGAACTACCTTCTGCTCAAAAAGTATCCGGATTTTGTTGTTTCTTAACTACTCCTTAAGTAATAGACCTTTTTATTATGTTGGTACACCCTTTCTTGACATATGGTATAAATTTGATCGCCATCTGTCAATTAGTTTGTTTACAGCAGCTGTTAATGTGAGACTACCTCAAGTGCATTTAGCGATTTTTAATATGGAAAATTCTTGTTGTACGCGATTTTTTGACCAAACACGGCACCACTGTCATCGCTCAGGCGCCATATTTGCCAGATCTGGATCCGTGCGACTTTTTCCTGTTCCCAAAACTCAAATTGCCGCTTCGTGGTAAACGTTTTGAGTCGATTGAATCTGTAAAAGAGAATTCGCCGATGGAACTAAAAGCCATACCTTCACGGGTCTACGAAAAGTGTATGTAATATTGGGTTAAGCATTGGCATATGTGTATCGCTTTAGAAGGAGCATATTTTAAAGGAGATAAAATAAATTTGGAATAAAATTTTAATTTGTGTTTTATTTACAAAATCCGAATACTTTTTGAGCAGAAGGTTTACCTCGGAGATGTACTATTTTCAAACTATGACTCAACAATTTCATATGTCACAAAACTTATTAACTAATTTTGTGGTTAAGTACAGCACCTAAGTACAGTACAGTACAGTGTACAGTACAGTGCAGTACCTGCTAGAGGAAAGTAATGTTTCCACTTTTCATATTTTTTAACAAAGGTTCAATATATCACAGTTATAATTAAATAAAATTATACGATCATAACCATGTTTACTTTTTTTTGGCTTTTCTATACATTTTCAAACAATATAACTATACATAGTTTATATATTTTATGACCTCAAAAATACACGTAAATAAAACGCATTTCAGATAATTGTTTCCATCGAATTTCTATATCAACATATTTTTTTAGTTTGCCATCAGATACAAAATAACTTATTTAAATTTCTTCTACGCGATATTTTAGAGTACTAGACCCTTTCTATATTATGTTCGATGACTTTTGGTAACTAAGCTGGGCACATTTTGTCTATAACTTAAGAATGCTCATGTTCACAAATTCGAAAATTTGAATATTGACCCCACTAATAAAGATTAGAGGTAACAAATGGTCATCACATCTTTAAAACTTTAAAAATAATGGAAGTTTCCTAAGCATAAAGTCAAAACAAAAACCAACCTTTATCTTCCACAATTTTATCTTCAATTTCACGCCAAAATAATTTGGAAATATTTTAACTCCAGCAATCAAAATGAAGGTTTGTGTGACACATGCATTATTTTCAAAAATATACGGGTCTAACACTCACCAAATGCTACACCATGTAGACTCTTTCTAAACGCAATGGTCCTTCTCAAGTTACTTGTGGCCCTGATGCGACAATATTGTTTGTTGACATATCCACATATATCAGGAAGAATAGCTCTTTAAAATGAGTAATAATTATTTTTTCTTGAATTAGAAAATTAATATAGCATGAAAAATAAATTCAAACTACAACTGTCTATATTACCTTAAACACCATTAAGAGGAGTACCTTCTTCTACTTTCTGCAACTTGCCAATAACAGATGGAAAGCACTTAGGTCATGTTTGATTTCCAGGTTAACATAACCCATCTATAATAAACATAGATTCTCGGAACTCATCAAAAGAGACCGCATGAACACTGCAAGGCTTATTGCAGTTTTTTCTTGTCATTGGTGTATAGGAACCCACGCAGAGAAACTGCGCATTTCTCATAATCCTCACTACAGAAGTTGTAGAAACTCGCAGGAAAAAGAAACCATAAAGCATTTTCTCTG